AGCCCTTCATTCAACATGATGGGCGTCGCAAGGATTTCTGTGATGTTTGGCCGCTCGTGTGGATTGACGCGCAGCATGGCGTAGCAGAGGTCGCATAGGCCCTGACTGTACCTCTCTCTCGGCAGCAATTCATAGCTCCCCTCTGTCAGCACACACTGCATCAGTTTCTCCATGTTCGGGGATATGAACGGCTTCCGCAGTGCCATAACTTCATATAGCAAGACACCCATAGACCAAATATCCGCCTTATGATTGTAGTTTTCCCGGCGCCAGAGCTCAGGAGACAAATAGTACGGTGTCCCACAGAACGTTTTCCCCACATCGGAGGAAAGGCTTTGGCCGTATTGTCGCGAAAAGCCAAAGTCGCCTAACTTAATAAGCCCATTTTTTCGAAGAAAAATATTGGACGTTTTCAAATCACGATGCATAATATTCTTTCCGTGGATGTACTTCACTGCAAGACAAAGCTGCGCCAGAATGACAAGGACCTCGTTCTCCTTGTAGTAGCACGGCACAGCCTCTGCAGCGTCTTTGCGTGATGCAGACCCACTTCCATTTTTTACCCGCGAGTAATGTTTCGCACGAACCTCTACTTGTGTCTGCAGGTCTCCTGCGTCAGCGTACTCTAGTATGTGCAGCAATTGCTCATTCCGCTCATATGTGCCCAGGAGGCGAATAATATTTGGGTGCTCGCAACTCAAAATATTCACTGCTTCCGAGCGGGCAAAACTTTTATTTTTCTCCGACATGAGCGCCAAATTGCAAAGTTTGCCCACGACGATTTCATTCGTGACATTGTCGATGAGTGTCCAGACCGTACTGGAGGCGCCACGACCCAAGGGGCGGGGTTCGCGGTACTTACTCGGCAACGAGGGCCCAATGAGGGCGGGGAAACTCTCCGCAAGAAGTGTACTTCGTCGGTCCGTGCAGCTTCGACCGTCATTGGCGGCCGGGTGGCGCATCGCTCGTGCCGTTGTTGTTGTCTGCGTCATGGATGTCCACCGAACCCAAACACAAACGCCAATATTTTTTTTTTTACCGCAGCCACCACCCGCTAATATATAAATATAAAGGACAGAAAACAACAACACCAAATAATATGAGGTACGACAAAAAAAAAAAAGAAAATAATACACAAAATACGGCGCTGTCACACATGACAAACTCCACCCCCCCTTCTTTTCACCAGATCACATATTAAACAAACAAACAAATATAACAGGTGTACATACACATAACGTAGAGCAGAGACAATCCTCCCCCACCCCAAAAAAAAAAAAAACGTATGTGAGTAAGGGAGAAATGAGACAACAACAATAACAACATAAAAAACATGATCGACGATCATTCCGTGAGCCTGAAAATAAAAATCACTGCGAATGCGTTCGACTACTTCAGCTGCTGCATACACGTCATGAACCGCTGCACCACATTCTGTTGAGGTTCATTAAATCGTGGCTCTCGTGAAGTGAAGAATTTAGCACGTAGCTCACACGCATGCGCAAACTCGATTGGTGACAACTTCCCCGATCTATCCAAATCGAAAATCCGCACCAGGCAATCGGCATCCTCTCTTGTTAAATGAGAAAGTCCTTTGCACGCTTCAAGCACGCGATAAAACTCCGCACTATCAACTTCATACTCGTCCCTATTTAAAAAAGAGGTATCCAACATCCTCGTTTTGGACTCCGGTGGCTGCCGCTGCTGCTGCTGCTGCTCAAGAGGTGTGGTTAAGACCTCTGGAAGCTTCGCCCTTAAAAGGAGATTCATCCCATGAGCCACCGCGTCGCACTCAGAGAGAAAATCAAACACCTTCAGGCAGAACTCAAAAGATACAAATTCCTTCTCTACGCATTTCATCGTCCTTTCGTCGGGATTCCCCTCTACATGGGAGAAGTGTTTTTCCATCACACCCATGGGAATTTCATTACTGTTACGGCGAAAGATAATTTGTTGAAGGTCCTGCAAAGTGATGAAACCGGTGTTTCTTGGGTCGTGCAAGCCAAACTCCAGCGTCCAAACTTCCCGTCGAATCTCACAGAGCATTGACCAGAACTCATCAAACGAGATACATTTCTCACCATGCGTTCCAAAGAAGTGTTCGGCAAGCGGGGAGGCTAAAAGTGCATCCCGCGCAGCGGCTGACGCGCTCATATGCTTTTTTTTTGAATCCCCTGAGCCGTCTGTGATGGGTGTGGGTGAGGCTCCAGGGGTCGAGTATGTCATGCGCTGCTGTCGCGTTAGTGAGGGCTGCACGTTAAGAAACTGCACAGCAGGGTCCACCATCAACGCGTTCAGCATGTACAAAAACTCATGCCCCGAAAGACGGCCATCCTCGTCCCTGTCAAAGACCCCAAAGGCCATCTCTAGATGTTCGCGACGCGCTGAAAGAAGAGTGAGAAGTATACAAAATTCTTCATACGAGAAGCTACTGTCGTGGTTAATGTCCATGAGTTGAAACACATGCTCCAGACGTTGACGTACATGGGGTGGGAGGTGGTTATCTCCCCCACTTTCAAGCGACTGCCTGCTCTCCTCATCAAGAAGGCACAAACATGCGATAAGGCCAGCAGGGTCCAACTCCTCACTCCCATCTGCATTGCGCGTCGCATAGAAGTGGAATCGGGCACGTGGATCCTTTTGATTCAGTGCTTTGAAAGCAAAGCATTGCCCAAGAGAATCTTTGGCACTTACTGGATTGCGCCACCAATTATAAGCAACAAAAACGCCTCCACCACCTAATAACAGCCCTGCTGTCGCAGTAACGGCGGCTGATATGCGCCTTGTTGCAGCCATGTGTGGTTCCTTGGCATCGTAACAAATACAGGAAATAGTGGTGTTTGGATAAACAAATAATGAGAGGGAACGTCATTGAGTAGCCATGAGACATTAGAGGTTCGAATGGGCAGAAGCCAACACAAATTTTCGCCCCCCAAACAACAACAACAACAACATACATATGCTTATTAACACAAAAACAGACAAAAAAAGGGGAAAAAAGGACGCTGAGACACAGAAGGAGACAAAAAGACGAGTTAAACCCAAGAATTTGAAGAAAGAGCAAATTCCTGGTAGAGACATTACTCTTCTATCCCCTATTCTTTTTCATTAAAGCGTGAGTCAAGAAGGTCAATAAACTCGTCTAGTGAGTTACACACCGTACACATCGACTCAATCTCCGCGGGGGAAATGGTAAGGCCCACAAAATCACCCTCAGCTTGTTTTTTCTTCTCTTGAATCGCAGCAATGGCCTGCCGCACACGTTCCGCCTCGGCATCACTCAGCTTGGGTAATGGGAGCGCCTTTGCTCCAGACGCTTCGTTCGCACTCAACTTTCCTGACGTCTTCTCATTCGTGTCGCCCCCATCAGCAGGGCGGACGGACCCAAAGTGCAGTCCCAACATGTCCAGCAACGCAGGCAGCTGTATGTAGTCCATGCGCAGTTTGAGGCTGAAGCGCCCAGGCCGCACCAGCGCCGGGTCAAGCCGCTCCGGGTGGTTTGTGATCATCACCACAATGCGACCAGGAGTATCGACGGCGCCATCAAGCACATTCAGAAGCCCTGAGAGGTTTGCTGACTCCGTGGATTGCAAAAGCTTTAAAAACGAGAAATCTACTGTCTTCTCATTGTGAGCAGGATCATCCCCCAAGGATGCATGGGATTCGGCGGGGCGCTGAGACTCCAAGACGCTACGCAAGATCTGGTTGACAAGAGTTATTTGTTGCTGAGAGGCCACCCCGCCACCCTCACTGTCTTCGTTCTCTTCGTCGGTACTTTTGTCCCCGTCTTCCTCGTCGCTGTCGTCGGCGGCGACAATTTCCGTGTCGTCCCTTTTGTCAGCATCACCGCCGAATGGAATTGCTGCAGAATTCCCACAGGACTCAAGCGTTGCGGCACGATGCATGCGCACAGGCCTTTTCCGCACACGCGAGCGCACCATTGAGCTCGACGTGTCCACGTCGTCAAGGAGAAAGATGACATCCCCAACTCCAAAATAAGTGGGGTTGGAATCCCCAACGCAGTAAAACTCGCGACTGAGAAAGATGTCATAAAGTTCCTGATTTGATCGAAGAAATGCCAAATTCACAGAGACAATGTGACGTCCCGTGTACGCGGCGAGTGCTTTTACAAAAGACGTTTTGCCCGTGCCAGGCGGACCGTACAGAAGAAATCCGAGTTTCCCAGGGAACCCTTCCGTCGCAAAACGTCCCCTCTTTGCCAAAAAGTCATCCACCATCTTCAAGATTTTACGCTTCTCCGGAAAAAACAAGGTGTCAAACGTTTTTTGCTGGACAAGAGGATACCGCTTGAAGAACACACGACCTTCGCTTTCCCGCTCGCCCGGCGGCGCATGCATTTGAAGGAAAACTCTGCCATAATTCAAGACGCTTGGCAGCATCCCTACATAGAAATCCAGCGCAGCCTGCAAAAAACGTTTAATCCGCTCATCAGCATCCGAATCCCCTACGGCACGCAATAATATTGTTCGCTGCACACCTTCATTGCCATCAATTTTTTCTCGCTGCCGATCATACGTCAACTCCACACCATCCTCGCTTACTGGCACCCACGAACCTTCCACCGGCACCCGCACCAACAAATAACGCGCAAACTCCCTTTGGCTCCGCCAATTCACATCTTCACGAAACCCATCATCAGCGTCACCAAAAAAATCCACCCTAAAAGGAGAGTCATATCGCTCTTCCCATGAATGACGCAGAGGATCCATCAACAGAAGCAGTGACTTCTTATTCTTCCACACGGAGGAGGGCAGTGATGTTCGCCAAAAGTTGTGGTAAAGAAAATAAAAAATGGCATTCTGCAGAAGCGCATTACGATCCGACAAAATCCCAACCGACGCCATACACAAGTGTGCCGTGACACGGCGTACCAAATAGACACGCGAAAAATAAAAAAATTTCTCCTTTGCCACTCGGGACAATTCAGGAACAAGCACACGAAGAGCGGTACATACAAGCAAAAGGAACAACAACAGCACCTCACGTGACATCACCATCGACAAAATACGTTCCAGCACTATGGAAAACGCGAACATGATACTATCAAGAAATCCATAATCCACCGGCATAACAGAAAACACAGTTTCCTTCAGCATCACCTCCGAAACTCCACTAGAGAGAGCAAAATACAAAGAACTAAAAAAAAAAAAGAAAAGAAAAAAAAAAAAAAAAAAACCGCCCCTAATCTCGACAATTCCAACTAAAAAGTAGACAACAAAGACAACAATACATAAATAAAAAACACAACCTCAAAAGAAATAACAAACAAAAAATATTCGCACACAAACACACAAGAAAAATACCTCAAAAAAAATCAAACAAAAAAAAAACTACTACACTATGGGACTTTATATGCGCTTGGCCTGAAGGCCGCTCTAAGCGCTGGGCGTCGCCCTCGCCTTCTTGCTGCTCTTGTGCTTCTTCGCCAGCGCCTTGTTCAGGCTCGGCATCACACCACCACGCGACAGCGTCACATCCTTCAGGAGCGTGCCGAGGTCGTCGTCGTGGCGCACGGCAAGCGTCACCGTGCGGGGTGTCAGGCGCTTCGGCTTCTTTGCCTGCTGGCTCGCCGCCTTCACGGACAGCTCCAGCAGCTCGGCTGTCAGATACTCCAGCACCGCCGCCATGTACACAGCGCCCGACGCGCCGATGCGGCGGGCATACTGGCCGCGGCGCAGCAGCGAGCCCACACGGCCCACGGGGAAGATCAGACCGGCCTTCGCGGAGCGGCCGCCGCTGCGCTTCTTGGACGCCTTCTTCGCTGCCTGCTTCGGGGTTGCCATCCTTGTCTGCGAAAAACAAAAAAAACAAATAGTAATAAAGTGTGGTTAGGTTGCTTGGCTTGGCTTTGATCTTGGGAAACAAAGGGAGGAGAGAAGGGCGGGGGCAGAGGACCTGCGGCCAAAGCAGAGGAAAAAGCGCACGGCACGCCACAATGCGGCCAAGCGCCGACGCCAAGGCGCCGCAGAGACCTACACAACAGTGGGAGGAGAGGCCGTAGAAAACAAGAAGAAAACAACGAAAAAACAATCCTATTCTATGGGGCTACGTGTGGGTCACCGTGGCTCAGCGACGACGGCCACCCAGGTGCATCTAACATGTTGCGCCCCGTCTCTGCGCTTGGCCTGAAGGCCGCTCTAAGCGCTGGGCGTCGCCCTCGCCTTCTTGCTGCTCTTGTGCTTCTTCGCCAGCGCCTTGTTCAGGCTCGGCATCACACCACCACGCGACAGCGTCACATCCTTCAGGAGCGTGCCGAGGTCGTCGTCGTGGCGCACGGCAAGCGTCACCGTGCGGGGTGTCAGGCGCTTCGGCTTCTTTGCCTGCTGGCTCGCCGCCTTCACGGACAGCTCCAGCAGCTCGGCTGTCATGTACTCCAGCACCGCCGCCATGTACACAGCGCCCGACGCGCCGATGCGGCGGGCATACTGGCCGCGGCGCAGCAGCGAGCCCACACGGCCCACGGGGAAGATCAGACCGGCCTTCGCGGAGCGGCCGCCGCTGCGCTTCTTGGACGCCTTCTTCGCTGCCTGCTTCGGGGTTGCCATCCTTGTCCGCGAAAAACAAAAAAACAAATGGTGATAAAGTGTGGTTAGGTTGCTTGGCTTGGCTTTGATCTTGGGAAACAAAGGGAGGAGAGAAGGGCGGGGGCAGAGGACCTGCGGCCAAAGCAGAGGAAAAAGCGCACGGCACGCCACAATGCGGCCAAGCGCCGACGCCAAGGCGCCGCAGAGACCTACACAACAGTGGGAGGAGAGGCCGTAGAAAACAAGAAGAAAACAACGAAAAAACAATCCTATTCTATGGGGCTACGTGTGGGTCACCGTGGCTCAGCGACGACGGCCACCCAGGTGCATCTAACATGTTGCGCCCCGTCTCTGCGCTTGGCCTGAAGGCCGCTCTAAGCGCTGGGCGTCGCCCTCGCCTTCTTGCTGCTCTTGTGCTTCTTCGCCAGCGCCTTGTTCAGGCTCGGCATCACACCACCACGCGACAGCGTCACATCCTTCAGGAGCGTGCCGAGGTCGTCGTCGTGGCGCACGGCAAGCGTCACCGTGCGGGGTGTCAGGCGCTTCGGCTTCTTTGCCTGCTGGCTCGCCGCCTTCACGGACAGCTCCAGCAGCTCGGCTGTCAGGTACTCCAGCACCGCCGCCATGTACACAGCGCCCGACGCGCCGATGCGGCGGGCATACTGGCCGCGGCGCAGCAGCGAGCCCACACGGCCCACGGGGAAGATCAGACCGGCCTTCGCGGAGCGGCCGCCGCTGCGCTTCTTGGACGCCTTCTTCGCTGCCTGCTTCGGGGTTGCCATCCTTGTCTGCGAAAAACAAAAAAAACAAATAGTAATAAAGTGTGGTTAGGTTGCTTGGCTTGGCTTTGATCTTGGGAAACAAAGGGAGGAGAGAAGGGCGGGGGCAGAGGACCTGCGGCCAAAGCAGAGGAAAAAGCGCACGGCACGCCACAATGCGGCCAAGCGCCGACGCCAAGGCGCCGCAGAGACCTACACAACAGTGGGAGGAGAGGCAGTAGAAAACAAGAAGAAAACAACGAAAAAACAATCCTATTCTATGGGGCTACGTGTGGGTCACCGTGGCTCAGCGACGACGGCCACCCAGGTGCATCTAACATGTTGCGCCCCGTCTCTGCGCTTGGCCTGAAGGCCGCTCTAAGCGCTGGGCGTCGCCCTCGCCTTCTTGCTGCTCTTGTGCTTCTTCGCCAGCGCCTTGTTCAGGCTCGGCATCACACCACCACGCGACAGCGTCACATCCTTCAGGAGCGTGCCGAGGTCGTCGTCGTGGCGCACGGCAAGCGTCACCGTGCGGGGTGTCAGGCGCTTCGGCTTCTTTGCCTGCTGGCTCGCCGCCTTCACGGACAGCTCCAGCAGCTCGGCTGTCATGTACTCCAGCACCGCCGCCATGTACACAGCGCCCGACGCGCCGATGCGGCGGGCATACTGGCCGCGGCGCAGCAGCGAGCCCACACGGCCCACGGGGAAGATCAGACCGGCCTTTGCGGAGCGGCCGCCGCTGCGCTTCTTGGACGCCTTCTTCGCTGCCTGCTTCGGGGTTGCCATCCTTGTCTGCGAAAAACAAAACAAATAGCAATAAATTGTGGTTTGTTCGGTTTCTTTCCTTATTTTTTTATTTTTATTTTTATTTTTGGGTTTTGTAAATAAGAGATGAGGACTTCGTTTCGGGTAATTTGATTGCTTTTGTTTTATGATTTGTGAGTGTTAATTGGTATAATTGGTGGGTGTTTGATTTGTAAGTGAACTGTTGAATTTACATAAAATGGATTGTAGTATATTTTCTTGTTGTAGTGTAATTCTTTTTTATTTATTTTGCTTTTCATTGTCTTTTGTCGGGTATCGGCGCCTTCCATATGTGTATATTGCAGTGTTCGTGGGTGTTGAAAGTGGCATCTCTTTTGTCGTCCGAAATCGTTCTTTTTCACTTATGTACATGAATGAATTTGGCTCGCCTTTGGTATGGTGAAACGTTGAGTGGTAATCTGTGAGCTGATATCGGAGCTTGGGTGGAGGGACGTCGTATAAGTTCGGTGGATTGTAGGTGTCAGGCCATGTGTGGGAATTCGGCAATGGTGTGCAGCCGGTGGGTACATGAGGTTGAGCTTCGACGGAGGTAAGTTGTTTTTTTTCGTTCAGCTCCTTTATGGGGGTTTCGTAGCCATTTGTGCTTTTGTGCGGCCTTTCGCTTTTCATGTTTGTAGTCAAAGGGTTGCTCCCCAGAATCATCGCGTCTGCGACTGCTGGATGTTGCGTTGCCCTCGAGAACCAAATGGCTGGCAAGAAGTGGTGTCGTGTATTCCATGCACTGACTATGTGATTGCGTCCGTGCGGATCACTGGGGTCGTTATACTCCAATTGCCCCGCCCCACCCAGTGTTGGGCATCCAAAGTAAAACGTCTCCTTATTGAAACGTTGTTCCGTGCCTGTGGCCTTTACTGCAAGAAGGGAGGTGGCAGTTTCTCTGTTCTGCACTGCTTTGCTGTCTTTTTTGTCGCTGACAGATGCCCACGGAATTGAAGTATTATCATTCTGTGGGTGGGTGCCAAAGGAGTCACCGATCCCAACTTGGTCGGTCGTCTCATCGACGACGACGGCACGTGTCACGGTGGGCGAGAACAACAAGGATTGCGCAAGCCTGCCTGGCAGCGGGAGGCGCTGCGCCACCTCAGTTTCCACGTCGGCCAAGTGCGCAACCTGAAACTTCTTGCTGTTTGTTTTCCCCGTGTAAAGCCGTCTCTGCCGCTTCGGTAGATGGCCGGGAAGGTACCGTTGCAGGCTCGGATGGAGGGCCTGGATGTTGACATTCATCGAGGCAAAAGAGAGACGCCGCAACACACACAAAAAAAAAGAGGTGTATTTTGCGTGCTTATCAGAGCCTAGGGGCAGAGCAGCGCCAATTTCCCCTTTCCAGTGTTTTTCCTTTCGGCCTCTCTGTGCGCACAAAACTTAAATAAGAAACAAAAAAAAAAAAAAAAAGAACTTGGTGCAGCCAGAGGAAATCAGCAAATTTATTACATTTGCTTCAATTAAAGTAAGAAAAAACAAAAAACAAAACAAAAAACAAAACAAACAAAAAAAAAAAAAAACAAAAGTGGGAGTTGCAATGACGGGCTCACTTCATCAACTGTTATCATGAGCTGTGCTCCTTCATCGACTTTTCCCTGGCAAAAATGCCGGTGTGAAGCAACGTGACTTCATTTTTCTGTACGAATTCTATCAACTCCCGCAGCACATGCAAAAGACGAACGGCTCTTTCATTGTGAAGAAGGTGCTCAATGCGGCGACGCTCGATGCGCTCCATGGAGCGCCGCATGTGTACTTCCCCACCTGAAAAAAGTCCCAATTTCCAGTTTGCTGTTCCCATCGTAAGTTCAACATACGCCTGACGAACTTCTGTAAAGTCCCGGCGGCGTAAGTGCTGCACCATACAAAAGATACTGTCCGCAATTTTCGGCGGCACAATACGCAAGTTCTCGTCACCCTTTGAAGCATCATCCCCTGAAAAACGCAAGACCACGCCCATATCATGGAGTATATATGCGAGGAAGTCAAGCATGTTTTGCCGCACACGATATGCCTCTTGCCATGCTTGCAAGGCCAGCGCCACTTCACGTCCTCGTGTGTTGCGTACAGTAATAGGCAGCGCATGGCGTGAGAGCAGGTAGACGTTGTAAGACCACCCATTCTCACTAACTTCGTTCCCTTCTTTCCCCCGAAGTGCTATGACCCAATGCCAACACAACGCAAGCCAGAGGGTACGCAATGTGGTGACAAAGTCCTCAACTTGCGGAGGAAACAAAATGGGCAAGTTGCTTGAGCTCCTCAGTGCAGAAACAAGGTTGTGTTCTTCCTCTTCACACGTACTAATCAACGTAGCAGTTGCATCCGATGAACGTTGCAGGCGCTGTTCAAGAAATTGACACAGTGGCAGTGGCAAGCCACTCATTTCATACACCTCTGATTCCTTTTTGATATCTATTTTATCTATCGAGGTGGCAGCTAACTCCATATTCCGTGACATGGCCTCTGCACATTGCAACACCACTTCCTCGGCTAAGTGCCGTCGCTCCAAAAATTCTGTCTCTGTTAGAGTCTTTGAACTTGCCTTTTCTACGGAGGGTTGGTCGGACGGCATATCGGCGGGCCCATTTCTTTCATTTATAGTGGGGTTGTACGCCGTGTTTTCCTTATCGTGAGGGGAACGCTGCCGTTTGCGCTCCTCATGGTTCGCACGCGCTTCGCGAGCGGCAACATCGTAGACGCTGCTAGAAGACTCTTTAGTATCAGGTTTTGCATCCGAGGAGGGAGGAGTACTAGTCGTGGTTGTAGTAGCCACCGCCTTATTTTTTAGACGTTTCTGAAGACCAGCAAAACTCATTTGTTTCCTCCAGACTTTCGGTTTGTCTCCCTTCCCTTGCTTCTTTCATGTAAAAAGAGAAACACGGGTAAAGCAGGGGGTAGCGGGGCGGTAAAAGAAAAAGCTACAGCGATACGAATAGAGTCAGGGGATGGGAAACATGGAATGGTCATCACGCATCCGAAAAAAAGAAAATAACAAAATCACCGAGTAGAAAAAGAAGAAGAAGAAAAAAACAAATAGGAGAAAGAAAAGGGAAATCTTCTCTCCAAGTGCGGAAATTTTGAGTCCCCCGCACCCGTCGAGTATCACCCACACGACGTCCCAAAAGGATGACGATATCCCCGTTCCGCGTCTTGCCATGCCGGTTCCAATTGCCATCTTTTACGCAACGGGAAAAAATGAGGGGGTTGGTGTCCCCACAGCCTATGTCCACCGCGAGACAGAATGACTGAGGCATTAGAAGGATATCATTGCGGTGCGCATTTTTTATTTTTTATTTTCGAGAGACTTATACAGTTGAAGAACTGCATCCTTCTTTACCTTCCAAACTGTGATGCCCATCAACTACAAAAGGAAAAAAAAAGCACCAAAAAAAAAAAAAAAAAGTGGCATTTTTTCAATGGTCAATTCCTTTTCCCGCCCCTCACTTCCGCAAAATACCAATGAAAGAATACACGCACATACAAAAACAAAAACAAAAACAAAAACAAAAAAGGCATGCAGGTAAAGGAAAACAAGGTAAACCTCTACACTCATTCTCCTCATTTTGTTTTTTTTGCTGCTGTTTTCTACATATTTAAAGAGCTGAACCAAAAGGGAGTAAAAAGTATGGAACATGGTGGCGTACGCAAAACTGCTCTCCGAAAATAAAATACATCCCAATGACTCGCATCGCCTCCAAAAGCGGAATCCCTGCCCCCCTTCTCTATTTTTTTTTCTTGTTGTGTTTTTCTTTCACTCCTCTTTCGCAAATAATGACAATTTGTTTTTGTTGCATGAATCCACATCATCGGTTGTGCTATACCGCGTTAGACGGCTTGAGGCGCCTTCGTGCCGCTACCATGGAAGCCGCTTCGCCATTCTCATCTGCTCCAAATGTTGGGCCCTTGACCACTTCGTCCACGGCCGGGTTGTACTCCGGCGTGGCAATGAAGCGTTTAAACAAATGCTCTAGACGCGTACGTAGCCCTTTAAGTGAACACGCTGTACGGCCACGTTGCAACAAGTCAGACTCACGATCCACAAGTTCCACTATCTGTTTTGTTAACGGCGAGTCAAATTCCTTCACAGTCCACTTGATATGCAACAGCACGTCAAGGCGGGCTTCAACGGAGGACGGTGTCTCCGTCAATGCCACATATAACTCCCGCAATTCGCGCGCACGCTCCGCAGCCCGTGTGGTGACAGAGACTATTCCACACTGTTTGGGGGCTGTCATGAGAGACAGAATATCCTCAAAACGGCGTGCGCGGCGGTTTTGCACAACCCCACGACGAAGTGTTTCAAGTTCCTGAAGAAGATGCAGCTCCCTCTTTGTGAGTTCTGTAAGCGCAGCACGCTTTGCCACCTCGCTAAGTGTTCTGTCTGTGAGGATGCGCGTTGTCTCAGCCGCCCGCCACGCCTCCAACTCACGGCGAAGCGTAGAAAAATCATCGGCAGTGCGTGGTGTCGCACGACGTCTGCGTTCAAACTCTTCGCGAAGTTTCTTTTCAGCCTCTTCCGCTGCGGCCTGTGCGGCAGCTCTTTCCAAGAAGGCCTGTCGTGCTGCAAAAAGCTCGCGGTATACCTGGCGCGCCTTCCATTTTCTATACATCTTCTGCATTATTATCACCTTTTCTGTTTGCAACGCAAGCAACTGCACCGAAGAAAAGTACATTCTTGCAATGACAATTTCATCATAATTATCATCCGCCTCGTAATCGGGCCGCGCTGTCTGTGTGCTACACTCCCGTAGTGTCTGGCAGCTCCGTGACACACCATATGTTTGCGTCCTCCGCGAAACGCCATCACGTGGAAGGGGGCCGTACTGCAGATCCTCAAGACTTGTATCTCCAGGTGCTCTCAGCTGTGTTGACGCGTGAAGAAAGACACGCGAGGGATCCTTCTTAAGGCGATAACCTCCCAGAAAGGGCATGCGAGTCCCGGTTGGTTCGTGCAGAAGCACCACTGAAACAATGTCTTTGCTCTTGTTTCTCTGCCGGAATTCATTGATGGCCTCATCAAAGGTTAATCCGCGTTTACGGGCGGCAACAAGGTCAGCCGGAGAAATGTCATCTGGCCGTGAGCGTAACTGCAAGCACCGTACGACATTGTCGTCCTTCCTGAGCTTCTGAAGATGAGGTGGCATTTTATCTTCACTGAAGTGTACATCCACCCACAGACGCCCTTTTGCTGGTAACTCGCCTATCTCATAGTCTATTGTCTCCCCAAAGCGAATGCGCTTGCCTTTACAGTAAACTTTTATCACCTCTGGATGTGTCCCGAGATTTGAAGCGACCGACTCGTACACGAACCTCGTGGCGATTTTACCACCCGGGGAACCTGGAGCTTTCACCAAGATCCGAAACCCCGTCGGGTACACCGTGGCGTCAACAATCACGTCATTCTGTGCGTAAACAATATAGCCGTTAGAGGACACCTCGGCTGCAGAAGTAACAGCCGCAGGAGATGCAGTAGGGGCGGGTACTGAAGAAGTTGGTGAAGGATGATCTTCCCCAAGTTCCGCTTGAGTCCCATGGGAAGGTTGCTGTGGCTGCATGATCTCTTCTTCCTCAATACTCGTCGGTATGGTAGCGACTGGAGCCGGAATCACTTCTAGTTCTTCGCGGGGCTTGCGCTCCGACGACACCTCTGCACCAACCAGATTCGGCTTTAATTCCTCGCCCCCCTCAGAAGCCTCTCTCTCCTCCTGTTGCAAAGGCTCTTCCACAACAGCACCCGACTGCACTGCCTGGATGTTTTCGTTTGTTTCTTCTATTGCTTCTACACGCGGAGCTTGCACCTCATTTGCGGTCTGCTGCACCGGTTGCTCTTTATCACCACGGAGCACTGGTGTATCCTGGGATTCCGACGGCGGTGCACCATCATTGGCGTCCATAGATGTAAGCTCGCTTTTTGAAAGAAGTATGTGCTTTACCTACCGTTTTCCCCTACTCTTCCTCATACCAAATACACAGAGGAGAAATAAAGGCAGGAGAAAAAACTTTGATAGAACAGTAAAAACCTAGATATTAACGTATAATCGCTTTTTCTTTTGAAATCTTTTAGCTGCTAAACCTCACATTTCTCTTGTTCACCATCCCAAAATAAGATGCCTGACATCCACCGAAGCAAAGAGAAAGGGTGTAAAGAATTATTTCCAATCATCCATTCTTTTCTTATTCAAAGCCCCGTACTTTACCATCTGCAGCCATCTTTTCGTGTTTCTCTAGTAGGGACAGTTCATCCTGCACAAGCTTCTCATTTTGCGTTGAATAGATATTGTACAAGCCTATGCCAACTGCTGCGCTCACCACTAAGCCACTTATGGCACGAAGCATAAGCAATGCCGCAAGAGGAAAAAATCCCGTTAGACTCAACGCGCCCCCCTGCCTATTCAACTAAATAAAATACCTTTTTATTGCAGTCAATAAAGTACCAATAAACCGGACGGGGAAAACAGTAATAAAAAAAAAGAGACATAAAAGGTTTGGCCAGCAATAAGAGAACGACTCAAGCCACAGATAGGGTGAAAACCGCAGTGACGTGAACCCAATTGAGCAAAATTCTAATAATTCATTTCGTTGGTGCAGGGTGAAGGAAAAATAGAGAATAACAAAAAATGCAACCCCCTCTTATTCCTTTTTTAATCAAATACAAAAAGAAAAAATTGCTAAACCTCCTCTATTACCCATTCCTCGGTGTTTCCCTGCGGACAACTGTGATTTTTAAAGAGCCGCAAAGAAGTATAGATGGGGCAAAAAAGGTAGAATACGCGAGCAATCCGACGCACAAAAGCCATCTCATTACGCACACCCTCCCGCTTTAAGACACTCCATAATTTCCTCATGAACCTTTGAAGCATCCCGTAGATCAAATATAGGATCACCCGTTTCCACTCTCCTCACGGTCTCAGCGTTATGATACAGGTTGCTGAGGGCATCCACCGCTTCCTGGCGCTCAAAAATCAGAGATAGGGGCAATTGCACCAGAGTTGGCGGTGGGGACGACGGATTGTGTTCATGAGGAGCGGGCGCTGGAGGTGGTACCGCAGCGTTTGCCTTTCGGTTTGTTGCGTCTTCCGCACGCGCAAGCGCACGTTGCCCTATCCATTTCCTCGTGGTTTGCTGCGATGGTTTAGACATTTTGAAATGGCACCTCCCCTTATTTTACCCAATTAACTTTTATTGTTTTTGTCGCTTAGCTTACTTCCGACCACAGAGTAAGAAAAAAAATTAGAAAGCAAAAACAATAAAAAATGATTAAGAACAGGCTTGCAAGTCACAAATGCCCTCCGGTATATATATATATATATATTAGCATAACGGTATTAGATTATGGTCGGTACGCAAATCTTGTTTTCTACATTTTATTCCCTTTTTTTGCTTGTGTGTGCATTTCTGTTTTATTTTTAGTAAAATCGTACAATCTCAATGATGTACGGAATAATACCAATAATAATAATAATAATAATAATAATAATAATAATAATAATAATAATAATAATAAATGGAGAAAGAATGGAGAATTCAAGTAAAATAATAGAAATCAGCAAGGAAAAAATCCAGCATTTTACACATACGTAAGCCAATGCCTCCATGTCCCCACTTTACTGCGAATATCAGTAAGGGCCAATGCATCCACAGGATCCATACGTTCATCGCAGCCCACATCGGCTAAAGCAGCGGGAAGCTTTTCATTTATGAGCTTGTTCACCTCAGCCGCACTCAGCATTTTTGCGGATCCCCGGTCCCCGTTCTCCCCCCGGCTTCCGCCCCAGGCACTACGTATTCGTGGTTCATATAGGTCTATACGCCAACGAAGATAGCCGTAAGCGCCACGACGCCGTGGGGACGTCAAAGGAAACATTAGCTTATCTTTCCCAGCCCTTTTTTCTCGAAGCCTGCCTGACTTAATAGTACCATTAGGCTCACCATTGCCGGTTAAGAAGTATTCCTTTGCCAATGACGATATAAAGGCACCAGTTAGAAGAGGAGAACCCCATGGTGACGAATTTGTATCGGTGAGCGTATCTCCGATTACCATCGGAGTTTCACGTCTCCACTTTATCCATAAATCATAAACAATCCTCTGCCATCCACTAGAGACCTGAGTAGAGGCTTCCTTACCATGCTTTTTCGTATCCTCCATGAAAGGTACGGCCGTTGTCAGAAGAAAAATTCGCTGAAGTGCGGGAGCTGTTTTCTCAGATTCTTGGAATGCTCGCCATTCCAAACGTGTCAACTCATTTTCCATTTCTCTTCTTGCAATACTTTCCAATTCCGCCTCATTATCAAGATTGACCGAGTCAGGCGCCGATCGTGACAATGCTTCACAAAACGCCTTAAAGGCGCCGGCATCTCTAAGGTCTTTTAGCTGTTGAGCATTGAAAGAAAAAATACTGTCTTCTGTAGAAGTTGTTATTGGGGCCCCAGGATGTCTTTTGTAACGTTGTATTTCGGTATACCGAGCTGATGGTGACACGTTTCCGGACGAAAATGAGATGATTGGGCGATCAACAGAAAGAGAAGCAAATAAATCACGTTTTCCATGGTCAGTCGCAATACTATCTATTGTAAAAATTGGAGGTTGTGCAATTATAGACTGCGTAAATGACACCATATTTCCATGGACGGCACGGGTCAGAGAGGCATTAGACCGCCGCAACATTGACGTTAATGGCGCATCAGGCCACCTAAAACAATACGACTGTTCATCATAAAGCAAACTTACCTGTAGCTTATGCTCAACATCTACAGAGCGTTCTTCTGCCGGGTCAAGAGGTCTGTATCGCTTCCTAAGCATTTTTAAAAAGAATACATAGCCTCTTCTCTCAATTTTTATCCTTATTAGTTTAAATTTCAAAAATTATTATCAAGAAAAAAAAAAAAAAAAAAAAAAAAAAAAAAAAAATAAATAAATAAATAAAATAATAAATAAATAAATAAATAAAAAATGAAAGATATTAGGAACACATAACGCGAGAAGAAACCAATAATGCTGAATTCACATAGTTAATTCCGTACATGAAAGCATATGAAATGTATGCACCTAGCATTACTAGGATTAACCCTTTTCGTTGCTTTCCTCCTGTCTTTGCAGTTGCTACACCTTTACCCCCTTTTTTTCCTCTGTGTACTCACTGCAAAGGCCCTATAAAAGGGCGTTTGCAGCCACTGCGCTAGATACCATCTGCACTGATAGCAGGCACATCTAGAACCGTGGGCTCCGTAGATAATCCAGCACGCTTCATGGATAGTAGAGAAGCGTAAGGTATCGAGGTACGATCGGGAAGCACCATCTCTGGATCTTCAGCCAAGGTAAGGATTAAATGAGAAGACCGCTTCGTTTTCCAGGCATAGTATCCTCGGCTGCGAATGTCAATCTGCTTGTCTGTTGGACCTGGAAAACAAGAAATGTGTGCGATGCGTAAGTTATCTTTTTCAAGCCCTTTCGCTTCAGCTCCTTGCTGGGCAATTTCAAGAGCCCGAAAAACAATTTGATGCCCTTTCCGCATGGACAGTTTGCATTGCGCCATAGCCTCACGCAACGACAATCCACGTATAACGCTAATTTCAATGTCAAGTTTTTTCCAGCTTGAAGGAACCGCCTTCATCAGAAGTGTGTACTGTGGTAATCGCTCCAGAGAAGCTTTTAACTCAGTTTCTAACCGTTCACAATAAAGCCCCCAGTTTACCTTATGCATTACACCTTCTTCTTCGACCAGGGCGTATCGATCTTCAGTGATACGCTGACTGTTCACAACACGTTCCCACCGATTGACATCTGGAAGGTTTACTTTGGTAAGCCAAACCGATTTCCATAGGCTACGGTCAAGCAAGATGCGTGGAGTTGTACCTCTATGTCTTTGAATGGCAAAAGGTCGAATAGAAAAGTACTGCTTCTTGTACCAAACATTACGAGCTCCGTGTTTCTGTGTGTACAAAAACTGAGACCCCACATTGGTGCGACGGGGAAGTATATGCCCCATGGCAAAACGAGGTGCTGGTTTTGGCATTCTGAAAAAAAAAAAAAAAAATGCCAGATAAATTCGGTTCAGTTTAACTGACACTCACTAAGTTTATTTTCTATCAAAAAATCAGCCAAGGGAAAAAGTAGGAGTTATTTCATAAGTTTTTTTAATTCGTTTTTTTCCGTCTTTTGAACAGTTGCTGCAAGAAGGACTTTTCACAGAAATTAATAAAAAATAAAATAAACACGCCCCCACCCAAACAAACAAACAAACAGAAAAAAAAAAAAAAAAAAAAAAAAAAAAAAATAGGTGCTCTAATTAATACAATTCCCAACTCACCGATTATGCCGTGGGCTAACTAGTGGTGTTGGAAAACTCACTTTCGCCGATTTCACAATGGCCAAGGAGTCAGGCCGTCGAGAAAGCGCACGTTGCCGGGCAACAGCACCCAGATGGGATTATCACCGGTCAAATTCCGCCGTTCAACATGCGGCTTTCAGTGCCACAGCAGCGACGGATTGACCTGCCATTGCGCGGCATGCCACGGGCATTGACCTGACATCGTTAAAACCGGCCAAAGTGAACTCTGCGAGGAGACAATTCTGCAATTACTTCGCTGCCCGGCTCTGCAGGCTCATAGACAAAAGCATGGCGTGGAGACCGTTTTTGCTGAGAGGCTGCATAGTGGAAGCATGCTCCATTAGCTATTCTATGCATTATCCAAAGAGGAGAATATGGTTCCTTTTCACATATAAATTTGGTAGGGAAGAAATTGTTCTAAAATGGTGTCTGGCGTGTAAGCCTTCAAATTAATTTAAGAGACTGTAAATAACAACGACAAAGAACAACTTCCCCTGGGACTGTACAGAAAAAGGCAAAATAAACACCAAAAAGAGCAACTCCCACAATCAAAAGGCACGATTCGCTCTCTCCCCAGACAAAAACATGCATAAAAAGGAGAGAGGAAACAAAGGAAAATCAAAGGCATTTATGGCTGTATAGTAAACAATAAGATTAATAATAAAGTTAGGAACAGTAGTATTAATGGTAGTAATCAAATTATTAATAATATTAATGATAATCTTCCTCTTCCTTTCGCTCTAAACACTGTGCTAACAACGTCCAATACAGTAAGACTCACTAATATTTACTCATTTTAAAATTCAAACTTCATTGATCTATGATGATGGAAGCTAACCACCACCAAATGGCTGTGTAAACTTCCGAGAAATAACGGTCATAAAGACGGACGTGAAAATAAAATAAAAATAGATAAAATAATAATAATAATAATAATAATAATAATAATAATAATAATAATAATAATAATAATAATAATAATAATAATAATAATAATAATAATAATAATAATAATAATAATAATAAGCTATTATTACCTCTCGGTGTGTCCTCACATTACTACGAACTAAGAACAACAAAATAGAGAGGAGTGAAAACAGGAAAAAAGCACCTCAAGAAACCAACTTATTCTTCAATCCTTCCTTGATTGACCCATTGGTTTAGAAGACCCACCTGAACATGGTTTCAAACTATATTCTCGAGGTGCCTCTTTACCAAAAAGAGGGCGACCTCTTTCGTTGACTTGTTTTTCTTCTTCAACAACCTCACTACTAAATTCGGCAGGGTTCGCTGCGAGGGGTGGTGGTTGTTTGCTCCCTATGAGTGCCAAAATATGTTTCATCGGCACATACCTTTTCAAAAAAGAATGCAACGCTACCTGGTCCAACGAGGGTCTATCTTCTGGATGGAGTGACATAAGCCACAAAGTCAACTCTTTTGCCTCTTCACTAACTGAATCAGGCAGCTTGCAAATACGTCCCATTTTAATACGTTCTTCAAGCTCTCTTGCATCTGTTGTATATCCAAACGGAAAGCAACTGGTCAATAAAACGTAAAGAATGCACCCCATAGACCAAATATCCGCTTTAAAAGCATCATAGGTACCGCAAAAAACTTCCGGTGCCACATAAGCAAGGGTTCCGGTAAGCGTATGGGCATACTCATCAATTTGTGCGTGGAAGTTGCTTTGTTTATGTAGCCGACTTAGTCCAAAATCGGATATTTTCAGCACATTTCCTTCAGTTAAAAGGAGATTTTCTGGTTTTAAGTCCCTATGTGCCACACCATTTTGGTGGCAAGCACGAACACCAGCTAGAAGTTGAAAAAACAAACCAGATACCACCTCTTCTTCAAGGGAGCTATCTTGAGAAAGAACTAGACTACAAACATCTCCTCCAAAGACGGGCTCAAGAATAATGTAATAATTATTAGGACTCTCCAAAATTTCTACCAATTGAACAATATTGCGATGCTTTAATCTACGAAGAATCGAAATTTCCACACGAATGTCATTTTCTACACGTTGATTGCTCTTGGGTATTATTTTCGCCACAAAACATGCGTCAGTAGGAATATGTCTTACTCTTTTAACTTTGCTAAACGCGCCTGTACCGACGGTTTCAAATATTTCGTATTCACCAACCCTTCCCATAAGTATGCTGTTTATTATATTGACTTTACAATTACTACCGAACAGGAAGGAACAAACAGGGTGAAAAAAAAAAAAAAAAAAAAAAAAAAAAAAAAAAAAAAAACCCAAAAACCAAACCAAAAAAAAAAAAAAACCAACCAAAAACCCCCCTTTT